CGGCCTCCCCGCCCTGCTCGGCAGCCCAGCCCTGGGGGCCAGGGAGCACGGCGGTCTCCAGGAGGGCCGGGGTGGCCGGACTCCGGGGGCCCCACTCCGCCTCGGGAGCCTCTGGCCTCTGGGGTGGACAGGCCGGGCTGGCTCCGGGGAAATCCCAGCCTGCTCCTGGCAGGGGGCAGGGCCTGAGGCCAGTGGCCAGGGCGTGGGGCATCGCAAGGGCCCCTGTGGCCCGTCCCTCGCCCCTGCTGTCTGTCCAGGCCCCCGTCCTCCCCACGAGGGCTGGGTATCTGTCACCGCCCGCCCATCCAGGTCTGTCAGAAGCTGGACACGCCTGGACCGTGGCTGTCGGTGTCACTGTCCTCGGGCCGGGGGGTGGGAGAGTATGCCCGTGGGAGGTGGGGCCTCTCGCTGGGCCCTGGGCCACGCTGGCTGTGCTCTGCCCACGCCACGTGTCCCCAGTGTGGGGGCCCGGTACTGACTGGGGACCCTCTCCTCAAGCTGCGCCCTGAAGCGGGCGGGGGTACGTTTGGCCCACAGCACAGCTGTGCGGCCTTCCAGTCTCCCGGCAGCTGCCCTGGGGGGCCGCGGCGGGGTCGTCCGGAGAAGGGGACCCGGGCCTGCGGGGCCAGGCAGGTCGGCCCCAGGGTGCGAGGCCAGGGAGCCCAAGCATGCCGCCCTCTGGCCAGGGAGTGCTGAGGGGATGGGCACCTCGTTGGGCGAGAGGGCAAGACCCGGGGGGACCGCTCCGTGACCGGGCAGGGAGGGGCCACTCTGCTGGAGGAGCAGCCCCCCGCCCAGGCAGGCCGCCCTGCGGCCCCCCACACAGCCCCTGGGCTGGGGTCTCCCCTGCAGCTGGGCCCTGCGGGGGCCGTTTCCAGGCCTCTGGGTGAGGGTGGCGCCTCCCGGGGCCCCCAGAGCCATGGGTTGGTCAGCAGGGGAGGGGCAGGTCCTGAGTTGCTGAGAATGACGGGGTGACCGGCACCCGCACAGGCCTGGGCTCTGGGGTGGTGGGACGAGCTGCCTCTGCCCTGCCCGCGCCCTGGGCCGCCAAGACACCGGTCCGAGCCCAGCGCGTCGGCCAGGGCGGTCTGGGCCCTGCGCCCCGGCCCCCCCAGGCCCAGGAGGGGAGCCCCGTGGGCCCGGGCCGGGGTGGGGTGCGGCTGGGCCCGGCCGTGGGGGACGGCTGTCTCTGCCCCAGGTGTTCCACGTGGCCTACGTGCTCATCAAGTTCGCCAACTCCCCCCGGCCGGACCTCTGGGTGCTGGAGCGCTCCACGGACTTCGGCCACACCTACCAGCCCTGGCAGTTCTTCGCCTGTGAGTCCCGGCGCCGCCCAGGGGGCTGCACTCGGCGCGGGGCCAGCCCTGGGCCTTCAGGGGCCAGCGAGAGGGGACGCGTCCCGCGGGCAGTCCTGGGGTCCGGAGCCCCCCCTTCTCTGGTGCTGGGGTGGTCGGGAAGCCTGTCCTGCTGCCCGGAGCCCTGGCACCCACACCGACGGGCCGCGTGGGTGGGTGCCCAGCTGGGTGGGCCCTGCCCACGTGCTGCCCGGTTCCAGGCCCAGCGTGGGGACGCGGGCAGGCAGGGCTGGGGCAGCCAGCAGAGGCCTGCGGAGGCGCCGGGCGCCCTTGCCTGGGGGTCCTGGCTGGCCCTCGGCAGAGGCTGGGGAGAAGGCGCGGCCGGACGCCTGCCCCTCACGCCCGGCCCCGCAGCCTCCCGGAGGGACTGCCTGGAGCGCTTCGGGCCGCACACGCTGGAGCGCATCGCCAGGGACGACGACGTCATCTGCACCACGGAGTACTCCCGCATCGTGCCGCTGGAGAACGGGGAGGTGGGCGGGGCCGG